TGTTTGTTTGAAACTCCCCATTGATGTTTAGGACTGCTATTGATCAGTCCCTTACTGACATATGTGCATCCTATAGAGATTGCCTAGATATCGCCTTAGATCACAAGCATTATAAGCATAAATGGATACTAGCTAGCAATGGAATCCAGTTTGACGCACGTTGCGTCCTATTTGAGACTCGTCAGCCAGATGTACCTATATCCTAGAGTTGATTCTCCCTCCTGGACTCGAACCCAGCACAATTCACCTCAAACACTATTACGTTATCCACTTAGCTTCTGAGTCATGAGAGTCACTAACTTGTGTCCTGGGTTTCACTGCTATCCACCTTCCATATTTTGTTAATAATAATAATAATAATAATTGTTATCCCTAACGTTATCATTATCATCAGGATCACCCCCATCTCTATCACTGTCATTGTTCTTTTGACAGATCGTTCTGATGAATAATTTTAATTGAATCACATGGTACTACTTTTTTGTTATTGATGTTTAACTGTTTTGGGTTAGAAGTAGTTTTAAAAACTGAAGGATAGAAAGAGAGAGAGAAAGAGAGAAAGAAATATAGAACAACAGCAACAATGTTACTGTTATTTGTCAGTCAAATTATCAAATAAATATTTTAAAATGATGGAAATTTCTCCATTAATTTATGATTACATAACACATAATCTGCTACTTGAAGGTCGAGCACTAGTATCGTAGTGCAATCGCAAGTGTCTACTAATATAGACTAACCAATCATATATCATGATTTTATAGGGCTCCATTGTAATTGTAATTTAAATGTGAATTAACCGTTGTTTGTGATTGAAAAATTCATTTAGTTAAGACCACTATACATTTTTAACTACTGTTATAACTTGTGAGTTTGTGCCTCTGTCAGTGTATAACGTCAATTAGAGAACAGTGATTTATCGAACAGACCAATGATGCATAAACCCCTACGAGCAGTCTAGAGTCCCTATTGGTCTTGCTTCTTGAGTAGCCCTGCCAGTTAAATCCAGAATACCAATCCCTAATAATTAACAGTTTCAAGTTACTTTCGACACGAAATGTTTAACTCTGTTTCCTTCTCTCAGCAATCTACGTTAACTACTGAAAGAATCTATTGTGAATAATTAACCTTAAGTCTGGATCAATGAAGTTCTTTTCGTTAATCTAAAACTGAGTTTAAGTGTAACATTGTACTGAACGAGACCACAAGTGGGGACAATCGAATGTACGTGAGTTCAAAATTACAGAACATCTTAGCAAAATCTGAGAACCATACAGCTTGTTTTTTTTATTTGCAGAATGTCAGTCAATCGCCTCAGAATTCACTGTTCTTTTGTTTCCACATCAGCCATTCTCTGTTTTCTTTTTTTCTCCGACATTCTTAACCTTCTGCCATCAGGTATTTCACTTTCGAATGATGATACATACTACTTATATCTGTCAACATCAGTAGCACACAACACAAATGTATATTTTGCTTCTTTGTCTAAGTATTAAATAATGGTATAAGTTATAGCGACTCTCCTGTGGTTAATTTCAATTACAGTTAATGTTTTGTCAACGCATTTTACCAACTTATTTGACATGAAATGTTATTCGGACAGTAACAATTCGCATATTCCTTTGTACGGTTTATGATCATTAGCATGTCTGTATAAACGTGTACTCTTGATCACATGTGACAGCCTATGCACATATCTCCCTCTAGCTTAAATGTTAATCGCTAAAATATCGCATGATGAATCATTCACTTTCCCATGCATATATGTGCTCGAATCCTATTAAATGGTTTTTGCCTTGCATCGCTTCACTTTGATTCGATTCACCTCTGTATCCCCCGCTCACACACATTAGCCTCTATGCTCCAAATTTTCTCGATGTGTTTATAACTTTGTCATAAACCCTAACCGCCGCTTCTTATTGCCTTCTGAATTCAAGCACCGTTGGGGATTTATATAATAACGATTATCAAAGTGATCTGACTAACAAAACTAAGCTATTACAAATTTTTATCCTTACTTTTAATCTACACCGTGGCTGTTCTCTGATTGCTTTCGTTGGTTCGTGTAAAATATACCGTTTTATAAATATTCCTTACATACAATCAGTTGTCCATGTACTATGGATTCTATTCGACAGACATTTGTTTCGAGAATATCGAACGTCTGATACATTAACTTCAAAGATGTGATCAGGATTTGATTCACTCGATATATCTTCCACATATTTGTAAATAATTTCGTTGGAAATACATGGATCATGAGAACAACGCATATTTGGTAAAATAATATCATGAATCTGATCAGAGTATTATTCATTTGAATCATTTAACTTAATAGAATCGGAATTACAAAGTTTAGCACTACTTGCAGTGAATTGAACAGTAGCTTTACAAACTGCCTGTATGTGTTTAATTTTATTACATTTAGAGCATTAGGCATTACGAAATACATATGAATTACGTGAGTGAAATTTGCCACAAGACAAATATTTACCAAACTTGTGTTCATCTTCATGACCTGCTTCGCAACTCCTCAATGAATTATTATCTGCATAAACTTTAGTACGCATTGTATTGAAACTATTATAATGTTTTGAATTATTTGAATTGTATTATGAACTAGGAATCCCAGAAATAACGCAATTGAATTAAGAAGTAAGACACAAGCACAAGCGAATGTATTGTATTTGGAATTCGAAATCGAGCATTCAACAAGTACAAAGGTATCATTAGTTCATTCAAACACCACAACTATGTGGCGATGTAGTGAAATTCTTGATATCCAGATGAATCATTTTAGGGAATTTTCTACTTTTGTGGCACTCGAAGTTTGTACATTTTACATGTTCTATTAGTTCTTTGAGAGTTGCATAGGGAAGTGCAATATCCTTTTCTGTAAGTGCAAAAGTTTTTAATAAGCTGCAGGCTTTCCGATGAATGCAAGAAAACTTTACCATTTTTTGACTTAAAGTCACACAGTCTTGTACACTACCGTGCTTTATGACCGAACACCTCGTGTTATCAGCAGATGACTGCGGTTGTTTTTGGCGAACTGGACCGGTATCTCTAAAATAGTCCCCTTAAGAAGAGGATTTAGTACTTCGAATATAAATATTAGGTACTATGGCTTGTGACTTCTCACACTTATTTGTTTCCATTCGCTAAGCATTAAGGTACCAGTTTTCATTATTATGTGATGTTAGCTCATTTCAACTGGAACGAAGTACTTAAAAAATGCTCTCAGATATCTGAAAGACTGAAGTACTTTGTAGAAATTCACGTGAATCCATTCTAGTTTCTGTACAGAAGACTGATGTTCACTTTGTTGATTATTTCTGAGTTACTGTTCGTCCGGATCTGTCAAATACTCGCTCGCTGAGTACAGAATCTTATACATATGTTCCCAAGCAGATATTCACGAATCTATCTACTTTCAGTATTTTTCACGTACTTACGAAAATTAGATAACCATATTATCCTCTGTGTTGATGTCTTGATAGATCTATAGTGACTCACTTTTATCACGAGAACACGACTGGTTTAATGAAAACAATCATTATTATAACCAACTCTACCAGTGCTTGTTTTAACGTGCTTTTGTTCAACTGTGCTAATTACAGTCATTCTGTGCTTCCATTACCTTCTATCATTGTTCCACGGTTGTTGGATTTGTTTGCACGTACTCCACCTTCCTGCTTTCGTTTGTACCATTTCTTGGCACGATCTTGGTATTCGTTCGATACCACGAGATCGCCAACAAAATAAATCTGATTACGTTCAACCTGGGCCTTCTGATTTCTTTGACACGTGTTTCTTGGTAGCGGTGTTCATAGTCAATTTCGACTCGACGCTACAGATCTGAAAGCTTTGTGTATTCTGCCGCCTATTGTTCACGTGCAAGAGATGTGGCTAGTGTATTTTCAGTAAGATTCCTTTTGTACGGTTTGTTCGATAATACCACATCTCCCCTCCCTTATCAGCGATTGGGACAGACAGTAACCCTGGAATGGCATTGGAGAATTTTTTTTCATCAAATATGCTTTACCAAAATATAACTTATTTCAAGTTTTATACCTACGCTATTATCGATGAGATTATTCGACAGAAGATACGTGAAGCTTCATAAAATCGATAATTCACCGACTACACACAACTGTAATAGTCAGTAAGCCGAACCCGAAAAAGGCAGCGAAAGGTTCTTTTAAGTCCGAATCCTCGCTTTTTATGCTTAGAATTAAATTGATCGGCTTTGCTGTTACAGACAAATAGCTAATTTAGTCTTCAAAGAGTAAACTTCTTGTCTACTTGGATATTAGGTGATGATGTACTTCCTGCCTTGGTTTGGACACTACATTCCTACTCTCTCTAGTTAAGTACTCCACTACCTTCAAAACACATCATCTGACAGCTGCAAAAAATTCCGACCTCCGATTTCACACTGTTTACGACAAGTGGAATACTCCTATCTTGATCGCTCAGTATAAAACTGCGACTAGAAATATTTATCGTTGCGCTCAGATATTAATAGTCTTTATTAGTGGGTTCATAGTTGGAGTCAATCTCCTGTTGGAGAATGCTTTACAAACAATCATCTTTCACATGGTGCTGAGCCACAGTCAATGAAGAATGAAGGATTAGTGTACTGATGAACCACCAGTATAATCATATAGTTATTTTTCAACGTACTCGCAATCTTCAGTGTTAAGAATTCTAAGACGCCATTACCACAAAGTTTTTGAGCATCAGGTAGTTCCATGCCTAGTTTATTAGAGTCACAGTGACGAAAAAATATTTCATGAACTCTTTGTTTTGTACTAATCAATTACTATCTGTCCTTCACACGTCAAGGCTGTGAAAGGTCGATCGGGTGATACATTGGGCGACTGGTCGCATTTATAATGATTGACTACAGGGTCTTGTGAGCCTTCTGGTGGTCTCGTCAGCACACCATTTGTCATACACTGGATTTAAATCGTGAAGTATCCCACCAAACAGAGAATATGATTCAGGACTCCGGACCTCAGAAGTTGCTCTCCAGCAATGCCGATCCTGTAAGATCTAGTGCAATGCAAAAGAAAATACGGCAAAAGTATTTTAAAAATGATGCCGTAATTAAAGGTTTGTCATGTAAAATCTCACATTCATCCTTGAAGCTTATAAGTGTGATTTGATGAGCCAGAATATAAATACTCCTGTTAAGCTATACGTTTGTCATTCGGCCTTAAATCTTGTCCATCGTCCGAAGCGAAAAATACTGGTATGTAGTTTTACTCATCATAGTTTTCGTTTAGACAGCACTCCTCTACAGTCAAATCGTTGAACTTAAAGTCCAAAATGAACACTATGTAAATATACTCACCACTAGTAACGTAAGTTTTGTATACCAATTTTTTTGTCAGCATTTGTTGCACTTTGTGTAGTTTAAAGTTTATTTTTGATCTCAACTGCAAATATTTATTATTTTCTAGGAGACGTACACTTTGGCTAACTTTGAACGATCAGACTCAGCTATAGCTTTCCTACGCAATTATTGGGAGGTCATTTTAAAAGAAAAGGCAAGTTTTTATGTGTTCTATTACTCACAAAGTATAGCACTTTTCGTCTTCAGTAATTCTAGTCATCTTTCGATTTAAAGTTGATATATTTTCTATACGTAGTGCACGCTTGGCTAACCAGTACTATGTATTAGCGTTTCATGTTTAGGTATTCTGATAGACTTATGTAGTAACTTTTCGAAAAAACTGCAAGCCTACATTTTAAACGCACCATCGGCCACGTTTCGTTCCGTTTTCGGACAGTCTAACCTTCGTCTTGAAGAAAAACAAAGATTTGTTACTGACATGAACAATATTATAACGTCTCATTACTATGTTCGTGTTTGATTTCTTAGTAAAATGGCAGTTTTGTCCCCCAAGAGCACATCTTCATTTTCTAGTTGAAGAAGGTCTATGTGATTAGACTTCATGGTTTAAGTAGTTCAATCTTCAGGGTGGAAGACCTTAGTTATTTACGCCCGTAATCAACCATTCATTCATCAACCCTTTAGGCTTTACTAACAGCAAGTTACAATGCAACCAGAATCCATTAGATATGTTATTCCGGCCAAAATTATTCCAGTTTTAAATTGTTTCGAATCGCTTTCGCTTTCTAGTGGTGTTTGGTGTTATTTTTATCAATGTAACAGCTCTAGTAGTTACCCTAGAATATTGAAGCTGTAGAATTCTCTATGTAGGATAGCCGGTGAGACTATAATTTACGGACGACCTTTGAGCAACCCTAGACTGACCCTCAGTGTCCACCTAATAACTAGGACCAAATGAGGGTCATTAACTTGTATGAAGAATTCGAATTATGATTTACAGTTGATGGTTAATATTAGGAATTATATTTATGGTTTTCATCACTAACTGACCTGCCAAAATTCTGTTTAGGCAAAATGAGTGAATTTTGCACCAAAATCCGAGACCTGTTATCTTATGCGTGATTGGTTCGTCCACAAATTATAGTCTCGCCGGATAGCCATTTCGATCCATTTTTTCAACTCTAAACCACAATAATTATAATTTTTTTAGGACCAAGAAGCCTCAGTTGTTTTTAGAGAAATTTCGGGTTAATAAAAACTGGCTCGTGGTTAAATTGTAGTTGCGAAATATAAAGCGTCTTAAGTCTGATAATTTGTCCCCCAACTTAACATAATGAATTCGAAAAGGTGTTTTCAGATGTAGGTAAACTTTTAAGTTGTTAATAAGGAAATAAAGTAACGGAGTTATGTCTCACAGAAGTGTTTGATGTCAAATGTTAAGTAGGAGCAATCACCGGTAAATCTATATATATATATATATATATATATATATATATATATATATAAGAGAGAGAGAGAGAGAGAGAGAGAGGCTAATCCACACTTAGCACGTTTTTCCCACTCAACTTCAATGTATCATAAATGTCTATTAGGTTTGTTGTCAGTTAGTGATAACAATTATGTAATATCTTTTAGAGAATGTTCTGGAATATGTTTGTTAGCATGCATTTTGAGCGCTAAATAAGATTTAATGAAATACTTTTCTGTAAATCTAACGAACAATAAATGAAACTGGAGAATATGAGTAATCAATAACAATGAATGATACGGTATACGTAGACTAATAGTTCTTATCCTATTAACTCTAAACAGTGTCTAGTCAAAACACTTTACTAGAGTAAAACTGCTGGACCGAAAAGGATTTTTTTAAGAATTCATTCCGAAATATGGAACATCATCAGCGAAAACTTGTTCTTTTGTTAGTCTAGGTAGGGGTAAGATTTCAGGGAGAATTAGGACAGCGTTTAAATGTAGTTATTCTATTCAAATAATATTCAAAATATAACACCAGCCAACCATCAAACCAGTCAAAAATGAATCAGTACTCTTTTAAGGTCATTTCAGTTAACGAATTCATAGGTACTGTACTACGCAAGTTTACAAACTTTTCCGAGTATATTTCTCGAGACCTATACTTGAGTGGAATCAAATACTTCATGAATGCTATCGTCAGACACAAAGTGAACACCTTCGACAACTCTGAACTTACCTTACTTCAGAGTAGCGATTGGCATCAAGCTTTCCCAACCTCATCTATGTATATAGGAAGGAAAACATGTTAATTCCCCCTTTTCACCAATAAAATAACAATACTGAGATAAATTGACCCGTTGTTCGTGTACATGTGTGTAGTGTATTATACTTATATTCTACTTCTTTCTCTGCTTACTTTCCAGTGTTTCTCTACATCGTATGGAAGTTCGCCAGTTAACAGATTATTTGTTAACAGTAATAATAACACTAATGATCCTTTAACTCACCCAAATGCAATTATAAGTGATCTCTACAATCGTTTGCTGATTTCAAAAGGTTCAACTACTGTCAGTTTAACAAGTACCAGTGGTGGTGCCACAGGAAGTATTAGCAATAGTGAAACAGAGAGCGTTGTTGGTGTAAAAAAACAAGGTGGGTAATTAACATACATAAATATATGTGTATACTGGCTCGTGTTCATTATTAATTGGTAAAGTTTGTATTTCCTCGTTTTAATTTTGAACTCGATTCGATCGATCAGTCTTCGTGTGCAGCTAGCTATATCCTACATCTAATAAGTGTCAAATAAGATGAAATATCATACACATAGTTCCCTTTATCATTTTGAAAAGAGCAAGAACAAAGATTCTAGCAGAATAGCATGAATTCATTTTATTTCGTAGGTTCTCGTCAGCTGCTTACAACCTGTGGTATTTAGAAATCATAATTACATAATGGGTTTAAATTGCTAACTGAATATTGTACGTTTGATCTCTTTTGATGTAACATCCTTGTTCACCAATATACCACTCTTTGAAACTATTGATATAATTTGTAAGAATGATGATCTCCTACCTTTACCAGCCCCAGAATTCAAAAAACTACTACTAATATGTACAACGGATGTTCAGTTCCAATTTAACAACACCATATATCGCCAAGTCGATGGCGTAGCAATGGGTAGTCCACTCGGTCCAATTATGGCAGATATTTTTATGGGGTATCTTGAAAACACGATACTTAAACAGGCAATTAATGAAACAACCGAATACTCCAGATATGTGGACGATACATTTATTATCTGTAATAATAAACAACATGCAATCCGCCTGCTCAAACTCTTCAATAACGCTCATACTAACATACATTTTACTATGGAGCACGAACAGAACGACATGTTCCACTTTCTTGATGTTGCCATAAAACGAAGGAGAGACGGGACAGTTCAACGCTCAATTTATAGAAAAAGTAATTGGAATGGCCTCTACCTAAATTTCAATAGTTTTTGTCCAATTAGTTACAAGAAGGCGTTGGTTAAAACACTATTTTACAGGGCAGAAAAGATATGTACCACCGACAAACTGGAAGAAGAATTAATGAACGTAGAAAAATGTCTAAAAGAAAACTTTTATCCACAAAAGTTTATTGACAAATATAAAAGGCCCAAAGAAAAGAAGACGGAAATAACTATGGTCAATAAAAAACCAGTATATATAAATCTTAACTTTAAAGGTGATGATGTCGCACAAATTATCAACAAGAGACTGAATACAGCGATAACCAGAACTTATCCGGCTGCTAAACTTTTAATTCTCTATAAAACAACATGTTCAATAACTCAATCAAAGATCGACAAGCAACCCTTTCAGGTTACCGCCAACTGTATTTATAAATTTACGTGTACCTGCCAAAGCAGCTACATCGGCCGAACTGAAAGGAGAGCATATCTTAGATTCTTTGAACATGTTCCAAAAAGTCTTAGAACAAGGGAAAGGAAGACTCTGAACAGTGCAATCACCAAACATCTCCTTGATACAGGACATCAGGTAGATACCTTACAATCCTTTAGGGTGATTAGTAAGCAGCCAAACTCCAGTCTTCTGAAGTTTGCTGAAGCCATTGCCATCAGGCGTCAAAAACCTGACCTATGTATTCAAAAGGAGACGGTGGTTAATCTTTCCTTGCCCTGGTGACAAATATTCCTCCACTACACCATAAAATTTTATTTTATTTTACTTTTTTTTCTCTTTTGCATTTATTACATCATTGACTCTATTTTATTTTTTCAACCGTCTTTCAAATTAATAATCTTTCAACTGAACTCTACTCACTACATTCCTTCAATGTTATTCATTATGTAATCGATTGTTTCTAACCCACTTTTGAACTGTTGTCACAATTAATGTTGTAGAATATTCTTTCACATTAGGTATATATTTACAATATTCAGTTAGCAATTTAAACCCATTATGTAATTATGATTTTTAAATATCACAGATTGTAAGCAGCTGACGAGAACCTACGAAATAAAATGAATTCATGCTATTCTGCTAGAATCTTTGTTCTTGCTCTTTTAAGATGAAATACGTAATTCAGACTTCCCTGTTAGTTATTAATCAAATGACACTATATGCATTGCTTCTCATCCTGTTAATACTTACCCTCTCTATATCTCTGCGGGTGTTTTACTTATTTAAACACAAACTATTGGTACAATGAGGCACCAAAATACATATGTGCCACACAAATCGTTGGGTTTTTATATGGATTGGGATACTGCCCCTGACTTTTGACTCAGGTATCTAATCCACGAAGCAATGGAACAATGTCATGACATACGGTCTGATAGTAGCTAGTGACCAAAAATAGGTTCATACGTTACAGGGTTAATGTTTAGGATTACAGCCAGAGTGTACGATTAACCTTAGTGTATCCCAAGGATAACTCTGACCATGAACTCTACATTTTGATCTGCTATTAATCGGGTAAAATTCCATATCACTTTGAGTCGATTTAAATCATCCGTATAATATAGTTTCACCTATTTAATGATATCTTCGTCATTGAAATTAATTATGGCACAGTTCATAGTCATTATCTTATTATTTAATGTAGTTCTCATAAACGATCCGCTAGATTGATATATACACACTGACTTTGTACTCACCTTTTCTATAGTGATTAGTTCATTAGTACTGTTGGTACAACGAGGCACCAAACAGAAATGCGCCACATAAATCATTCGATTTATGTGATGGGCTGGGATACTTTACGAGTGGTGGTTTTGTTAGGGGTCCACATCCTGAGCCTTTGACCTAAAGGCCTAACCCACATGGCAGTGGAGCAACGTCAGGAGATGCATTCTCATAGTAGCCGGTGACCAATAATTGGTTAATATACCATTTGTTTCCTTAGGATCCTGGAGCCCATGTACACCATTGGTTGGAATGAGGGTTTTCCAACTCCTCTAGGTGGATCCTCCATATCCAACGCCCCGTTTAGAGCCCTGGACATTCGCTTTTCGTCCTCTCAGTTTCATGAACAACAGTAATGCCGCGAGAAGGCAGTAAGTAGGACTTTCCTTGCAGTGACTGTATACACGTGGCCAGTTGAGAGCATTTCAAGAGGGAGAGCTAGCTCTCTCCAATCTCAGCCATATCAGGGCATTTGGAGGCACTTTGGCGTTACTCTGTTTTCATGTTTATTTGTACGCTTAAAATTTTCGCTTATACTTGGATTAACTTGGATACTTGGATTAGCCTTTCCTCTTCAACTCCGTTAGTTATGATTATAACAACTTGAATTGATACTCTCTAAAAAATGTACACTAAATTGTGATGTTATTCTAAACAGTCAAATAGTTTTGATTACTTTTACAAATAATTTTTCATATTTAGGAATATATGTCCCTTTAGTTTTGTACTTTATCTTCGTGGATCGTTAAACAGAACAAATATGAACTATCAACGGTTATAAGATAGTATTTTGTTTAGTCAACAAGTAAAGTATATAGAATATTAAATCCTTCACTGTTATATTTATATATATTTCTGACATACTAACGTACCGATAAAATTTTGTACTTTTTCCTAATGTGACTTCATTTCATATGATGTTTATGAATTGTAAACTATTTATAAATGTCTAAATTCAATTTGATATTGTCAATATTGTAAGCAGTACTTTGATGTATCGATTGTTTTCGTTTCAATTAATAAATGCCTTGATCCATTTCCCTGTACCGATGATATATTAGTGATAACAGTTGATGAACTAATACATCATTGTTGTTAATGCTACTATCGATGTAATTAATGTGGGGATCGTGAAGTTTTCTATAAAGCCTTCCGTAATGATACTTCATTCATAACTTAGTAATTGGTTGTAAACATTCAACGACTGGTTTTATTTACATGAGTTTAGTAGACATCAGAGACACATCAATTGATATCCTAATGCTTTTGTCATATAACTGTTCCATTTTTATCCTGACGCTATATACAATTATGTTTGTTATTTGGGTGCTTAGATATTCCACATACGTCACCTAATAATTCAAGCCTTTATAGTATATCGAATCGAATTCATACCCGTTTAACCAAACTAGTAACTATCCAAACACAGTAGCTCAATGGATAGTGCACTGGGTGTTTGAAGTTTAGGGTACCGGGTTCGAGCTCTTGTTTGGGCACCAACACTGGAATAAGACAAGCACTTATAATAAAAGATGAGTCCCAGGTGGGACGAAACACTCGTTACAGATTTCACTGCTAACCACAACCCATAAAAATTTTAATTCACTTGAACAAAAATTCAGATTCTTGTCTCTGAATACGGTTGAATAGCTTAACACTAAGTATTCAATCTATTAAATCTTGTTGCTCTCCTTCTCTTCAGATTAGCTACAACCTATTTAACTTTAAGCCCAGTTAGTTAGTCATTCAAACGCAACGTAGAACTTGGGACATGTATACATCATAAATTCCCTATGTAAAATTTCAGATCTAATGACGTTAGTATGTAAAAGCTTTATAGGATTGTGGAGTTTGTTGAGTTTGAATGAAATCATTAGTCGATCGATGTTAGACTGCCATTGGAAACCTGGAAGAACTATAGTTCCGCGTTCAGGGTCGTGGATGTGCACTGCTGAGGAGTCCCATAGTACGATGAAACAGCCATCCAGTGCTTCTAGGTTTTCAATGGTGGTCTAACATTGATCAGCTAATTATTTCAATGAAACTCAGATCCTTAGCCACAGAGTATAATAATGTTGTTACATAGAACTCGATATTTTTTTAGTGAATTAGGTTCATCAAAAGTTTTTTTTCTCATTTGATTTATATTTATTCTGTGAAGCATATCGAATCAGTGTAAGTTTTATATTTATGTACTGTTTGTATTTTTATTGACAATTCAGAATCTTCAATTCGTAAATTCAGTCTGAACGTCCGTAAACCATCTCCCATTGAATTCAATCAATTAAATGAAGAAACAACAAATAAAAATGTCGATATTGGATCCAACGTTGTTACTCAACATGATGATGATTCCAATGCTACCAGCCCAATTGTAAATAATCTATATACCACTTCAACCCTTCAAATATCCCTATGAAACGCAATAATACTTCAGTTTATCAACATACTAAACCTTACAACAACGAAACAGTCAATACTAATAATGTTAATAATAGTAATAAGTTTAATTTTAATAGACCAAATGTTACCATTTCAACTGATTGGAATTGGTGGCCATTTAATGTCCTTACCTATCTGTTTAATGCTTCTCCTTCACAAAGATTTACCATGATGATTGCATATGCCATGTAAGTGTTATCTAATTTTTACTAGTGTCATTTACTACATACCATATTTCTGTAAATTTAATTGAAAAGAACTGAACATTTGTCTCGATCTAGTTTACAACTTATCCATCAACAGGCAATATTCAACATAATTATACTAAGATCAAACAGACGAATACCAGTAGAATACTAATCATTGGCTTATGAATATTATACTCTTCCGGAGAGACTTGTTAATTAATGAATTCATTCCTATGTATGGATTCATTAGTACTTATTGCCAAAGAATTCTCAAACTACGGCGAGACAACTCCCAAGTACTTCTTGATTTTCAATAAGTCACTGAGCCTGATATCAATTTGTGATGAAAAACACCCTTAAGTTTTATATGAAACATGTAAGTTATTATCGATAGAGTAGCGATAAAACGGACAAGATTACCCTGTTCTTTGTAAAGCACTAATGAGATGTTACGTGATCGTAGTTAATCGGGAGGAAACTATGGACCTGCGTTTTATACTAGTTAGTACTCGTCAGTAAGGCGCATACCTATAATCTTCATGGAGATGACATTCCTTATGGGATTCGAATCCGTGCCGTTCAACTTTACAGTTTGAAATATCGTTGAGCTACTTGAGCAGCTACTGTAGGACTGATATTCCTGATTGAATAATCACTAAATAGTGACCGAGATAATGGATCAATTAGATTAATGGCCACGTCACAACTTGGTTGTTAGAATTTGATCAGTACTAAAAGACTAGATAAACATGACATTGGTTACTACTCAATACTTGACGGACTGAAGTCTACTTATACTACTAATTACAATATATCCATTATAATATAGTCGCATAGTCAATATTACTTACTTACTTACTTACACCTATTACCCTTCGTCGAGGAGCATAGGCCGCCCACCAGCACTCTCCATCCAACCCTGTCCCAAGCAATCCTTCCTTATTCTTTCCACTTGCTATTCATCCTTTTCATGTATGCTTCCAATTCCCGACACAGTGTGTTCTTCAGCCTTCCTCTTTTCCGTTTCCCTTCAGGATTCCAAGTTAGAGCTTATCTCGTGATGCAGTTTGGTAATTTCTGTAGTGTATGTCCTATCCACTTCCAACGTATTTTCCTAATTTCCTCTTCAGTTGGAATCCGATTTGTCGTCTCGCACATTAGGCTGTTGCTAATGTTATCCGGTATCATCAATATAACAGTAGTAATAAGTTGAAGGATTTGTTGTTGAGAAAATAGGGAATGTTTTTTTTCAATTTATAAAAGTTACCATAAGGTTAATTATTTTATGAGTGGTTGTTGAACTACTGATCCATCAAGGATCTTATTAACTGTGTCGTTGTATCACACGTTTAAGCTGTACTGTTCATGTTATAAGGAGACTGGATAGTGTCTTGTTCTTCTGAAAACCAGTGTTAAATTATCCCCTTCCAGGGTATATATATTCATAATCATGAATAATTGTTAAATTATTTATAAGTTTCACTAATCCTGACTGTTGTTGCTACCTTGACGTGGTGGTCGGGTTTACCTATCGTGATGAAGCGACTGAACTATACTGGTCGGAACAACCGTTCCTCAAAATCCTACCATGCTAGATAGGTCGGTTGGAGAGCGGTAAGACTAAAAGCAAAAAACCCAAGGTTTGATGGCGAAGTCGTACTGGTGACTGTACAGAGGTGTGACAGTAGTAAGGTTTTTCTTTCAGACAACCAGCATAACAGCGATGCTGCCTTCCCATAAGGAGGGGTGGGGTTGGAAAAGGTAGACCCTAAAAATGCACACCTCGCCTAATCCCACGGATATCCGTCTCCGGCGGTAAGGTCTCAACAAGTACAAAGCTAGCACGAAAATTACTCATAAAAAGGTCGTGTGTGACCGACCTCAAGCAGTTGTCCCTCGGGCACTGCGGTCACGCTCTCAGGTCACTAAGACCACCTCTAATCCAATTTTCTTTTCAGGTACCTGCTAAGAACCCTTCCACGGTTTGAGCAACCGGGAAGTGATAACCACCCTCATACCTCTAACAGCACTCAAGACCACTGTAGTCAATTCTTATTGTTCCTCTTACATAGACCGAAGTTTCACTAATTACTGAAAAATTTCTCTCATCTTCTATTTGGTAGATAACCAGTTTCTTGAATCTTTTTCATATGCTCAATTTCATTGTTATGATCTTGTGTTCCTCTGTTTAGTTGAGTAGTTTCCTTCTTTTCGAATCAGTAATGAAGCTGTGAATCAGTTGTTAATACATTATTTAGCTTCCAACTGTTAGGTCACGAATTCGAACCATTCTTAGTCTATTTTAGCTTCAATAGTCCTCATACACGAGAAAATATAGCTTAAAGTTCTTAATACTTGCACACAATAAATAAACTCTTCATTTGTACAATGTTTGATAATCACTAAGTAATATCAATAATATCTTGTAGATTAGTGGTTCCAAAGCCTATTATTTGCTACTTGATATCTTAAACACCACAGTAGCATTTCTGGATGATACGTTGTATGACCAATATTTTAGTCAATTCACCTAGTGTTTACATGTACTATGGAGCAACGGCCAAAAGGCATAAAACTCTGGAATTCCAATCACTTATTTGTAACTTCAAATCCTATTCTATTCACCTCTATTTAGAGAACAGAATGACTAGTTTAATAGTATAGTTTGATAAAATCTCAACACGGATACAGAAAACTCAATTTGCGTTTGCCGACTTTTATCTTTTATGGAATAGTCAAGATATCTATCTGCAAACCAAAGAGGGAGTATACTGCACACCAGTTCGATCTGTTTTACTTTATAGTTGTCAAATATGGTGTATAGAAATGAAAGATATACATAGGCTGTACATTTTGAATCATGGGTGTCTTCGAAGCATTGCTTCTGTATCATAGAACAATTGAGGAAGTAAGTACAAAAAATCGGTTGACTAAACTGTAAATCCTCATCGACTTAGATGACAATGCCTAACCATCATCTACTTCGATGATAGATGTAAAACTATGCTAGGAAAATGATAGAGGTAGTCGAACCAAGACATGTCATTGACCGTTTGCTTGAACCTTTAAGATAGATAAAACTCTATCTAGTTAGGGTCCACATAATAACCACGGTCAGTAGTTGGAAACATTGGATGTGATAGGTCAGAATCGTCTACAATCAGTCAAATTCATTCACTCTTTATCTTCTTTTAAATGTTGATCTCTAATATCACATCATACATATATTTTCTTCCTCTCTTTTAGAATCATATTATCAATGATTAACTTTTCTGATTATCATCACTACTACATAATTTCCATTCATATTTACTATTTATTTTCCCATCTCAACATTTTATGATAGTTTTGTTTAATGGGTATTTATACTAGACCCTACATTGATCATAACTGTGACTCTATTAAATGTTATTTATGAATGAGTTCGTAGCCAATGAAGAAATTCAAAATTTGACTATCATTTAACTAAATTAACAATTCACTTAATCCAAAGTTGATTAATTCACAAAACAACTATTTGTACATGTATGTCAGTTATAATCATTTTAATTATTGAAGTTTCAGATAACAAAATGGATGAGACTATAATTTATGAATGACTTTTAAACGATCCTAGACTGACCTACAGAGTTTCCATCTGATAACTAGGACCATATGAAGGTTATAAACCTGTGCCATGAATTCGAATTATGATTTACAGTTGATGGTTAAGATTAGGGATTAGATTCTATTTAACCAAAATGATGAGTGAATTCCTCACCAAAATCCGAGATCTGTTATCTCATACCTGATTGGTTCGTCCCATAAATTATAGTCTTGCCACAAAATGTCTAGGTATCATCATTACTTATTATTCTTCCATTTATTCTCTCAATTTTCTTTTCTAGTTTAGGTTTTTTGTTCTTGTCAACAATACATCTTTATCATCGATTAGCATTAATTGATTTACAAACTGGTCCAGCTATACGCCGTGCTGGAATAAATCATCCATCATCTACATCTACTTCAGAATTGCATAATTTAGAAGCACAATTAACTCATTTAACTCAACTTGCTTCAAAAATGGTTGAAGCACTTGGTCATTTAACATCAGAATTAAATAGTTTCGTATTATATTCTAATCCAGAGAAATTTTCACCAGATCAATCAACTATGAATACATGATATTATTGTATACAAGATGTAATTATTATCATTATCACTATCACTATGTGTCTCGTAATATTTGTTGCATTTCATTTCCATAGTTTTGTTTGTTGATTTTCCTTCTTTTGTTCCAACATTATCAGATCAAAACGCGTGCAAACACACACACACGCACACGCACACGCACATACAAGCGTATTACAGTGTTAGCTAACAAGTTAACAGATACACTTGTTTTTGTATATATCTTTCTTTATGAATGTATTTCTTCTTTCTCTTTGTATGTATAGTTCATTATCATTTGTCTAAACAGTATCTACAATTTATCAGACTACATATCTGATCTCATTATTTAGAAAAGAAAAAAAAGAATAATACTCTCTATCACTACCCCCCTTTTTTTTACCTATTTTTACTTCTCTTTCCGAAAAATATGCACTACTACCTCTCTTTTCAATTGTCATTCATGTAACCAAAAGTTCATTGGTGTTGTTATCACTATCTCATTATTTTCTAATTTGGTTCTAGATTTTCATTATATACTATCATGTGGTAATAATGGTACCACACAATGTTTTATTCCTTCTCTCTTCCTTGATTTTCTCTGTCACTTTTTCCATCTTTCGCTGTTACGTGATATACATGTTAACTTTCTTATTTATGCCAGTATTCTACTCTATTTAACTTGCCTTTTAGAGATGCACATGTTAATTTGTTTCTCTCTTTTAAAATCTCATTCTGTTTTCATTCACTTACTCTGCTCTATGTAGTGCATGCATTTCTATTTTCTTGTTCTAATATAGGTGTCTATCTTCTTTTTTTTTTCTTTTCTTTTCGATTTAATGTTTATCCTGTCAGATATACATAGATGACACTAGCGTTCGATCTGGATCAATCAGCTGTTGCGAACTTCATTCTTATCGGGTAGTTTGTTTTCTAAAAGATTTTTTAGGATTAATTCACTTATTTCATTGTTATTCTACTTTCATATTCAATCTCTCATTCTTTGTATTCTCTACGACAATAAGTCTTTCAATATGAAACTCTACTACCACTTTATTTTCACTATTACCACTGGTACTACTACTGTTACTACTACTAAATACTGTGTACGTTTGTGTCCCAAGTTTCTGTGTAATAATTATTTTTTTTGTTTACTATCATAATTATTATTCTTGCTGATATCTTGTTTCTGTTCTCGTTAACTTTCTTTGTCTGATTTCGGTATTTCATTTCTCCTTGTTATTCTCTTCTCTCTCCTTTTCCTCCTCTCTCACGATCTACAACAAACTCTCTCTCTCTATATATATATATATATATATTTTGTTTAACTCATCTTTCCAGTTGAAAAAGATGTATTGTTGTTTACTGTTTGTCTGCTTCTTTGCCTTTTCTGTTGTGTTTTTTTTCAAGGTAAATTGATTATTCGTTCTTGTTACGTCTAGTTGATCTTTCCATTGATGTTGACTTACATGTTTATTATTATTACTACAACTGATGATAATATTTGTACTGATTACTATTATACATACATATCTTGTATGTGTATTGTAAACAAAATGACAAATCCGATTTTATCAGTAAATAATAAATTAATTTAAATTATATTGAAATGTTATTGTTATTATTATTTGTCATGTATTGTATTCTGTTATTATTATTATTATTATTATTTTAACACATAGATATTGGTACAAGGAGGCACCTAATACATATGCGCCACACAAATCTCATTCGATATGTGTGAGGGCTGGGATACTGCCCGAATGCTCAAAGCGAAGCACATGGTTTTCTTAGGGGCCCACACCCGGAGCCTTCGACCTGAAGGTCTGATCCACAAGACAGTGAAGCATCGTATGGAGATGCAGTCCCATGGTAGCCGGTGACCAACGATTGGTTCATGTGCCATTTGTTTCTTCAGGATCTTGAATTGCATGTGCAATCAGGGTTTTCCAACTCCCCTGAGTGGACTCTCCATGTCCACCAACCCGGTTAAAGCGCCGAACATTCGCTTTTCATCCTTTCAATTTCATGAACAACAGTAATGCCACGAGAAGGCAGTGAGTAGTAGTATTCTATCTTTATTCTTATTAAAGTATCCTATCCTGGTTATGTGACGATGATGTAAACATGATGGAATAAGGTGTTACATTGAATTCGTATAAAATACTTGGCTTTAAGCCATATTCTAACTGTGAGAATTTATAATACTATTTAGTTGTCTAAACTGAAGTAGGTTGAGCATAAGTTTAATGTACGAGTTAATAGATGGAAGTTGAATACTTTAATTAGCGAGCCTTCACTCCATTATCATGTTGTAGCAGTAGTGTAGTAAACAGAACACTGGTGGGGACAATCGAATGTATTTAACACAAAATTACAGGACTTGTTAATAAAATCTAACAATCATAAAGTAAATGCTTAATTTTCCAAAATGTCCATCAATTGTCTCATAATGACTTAGACTTCATTGTTCTTGCATTTTCATAGAAATTGCATTTTGTTTCAATTCTTTACTGTTCGATCCTCTTGTCTCTCTACTGCCAGACATTCTGTTCATGAGTAACATCATCTACTACTTATGTCAATATAAGTAGCACACACCACAGTCGTACACTGCATTATAGCCGATATTCTACTAAAAAAAATATTGAAATATGCAAATCAGTGTTATTCATTATAGTTTAGTCGTTAATTTGCATAATCTACCTTTTATGTTAGATATTTGACTGAACAATGAGATTTATGTTCAGTTAAAAATGCTATATTATAAATTACATAATAATAGTCAAACTAATGGACTTCAGTAGATTGGATCACAAATGAGAAACCTTGTATTTCATCAGCCAATTAATAACACTAGTCTTGAAATGGTGGAGTACATGAACACTAGAACTTAACTGACAGCTTTCGCTAAATTACAGGAAACCATACTACATCGTAGGTGTAATACTACTCACATTTCATTGATATTTTGTTTTCAAATGAGACTAATTCCTTTAAAATAAGTTTCATTGACTGTCATATGAGAAATGATGATTAAAACACCTATTTTCTAGGTAAAATGAATATCAACTATTGGTTTACTCAAATCCCTAATGATAATCGAAATTTCCTAATCAAATATCATATATTAATAGTTGACATCATGAGTCAATTGAAACTAGATCACCATAGAAAACCTGGAAGCACCATATTGTGGGACTCCTCAGCAGTGTGCAACCGGGTCTGTTGTGAAATAGTAACTCACTGAAAAGAATGGTGGATGTGTCGCTCAATTTCATGGATTAATTAAAGTTAGATATTAACACCGTTAGATGCCGTCTCAGTGGTCTAGAGGTAAAGCGTTCGCGTACGAGATCGATAGGTCCTGGGTTCGATTACTTTGGTACAATATAGAATTCTCAGTACAAACTATTTCAACACGTTTCCGTTTCTTACTTCTTGGTCGATCCTAACGATAAATATTGAGTGATCGCCAGTTAGATCTTAGCAGTTCAGTCAATCGACATCTAAATAATGTACAATCTTTTATCTGCATATTGCCACAAACCATGACATCTCTGATTGGGCCTTTTGTAACTTGTACAAAGAAAGGTTGTACACATTTCAGAAAGGTATTTGAATAAGTTATGCGATTTGCGGATATAATAATGTATTAGGACAAACAAGAATAAATAACTTGTTGAAATATCCAGATGATAGGAACAGGTGACCCATATACTCAAACAGGTTGCCAAGTTGACAATGAAATAAAGATGGTGGAGAAGATTTGTAGCTCAGGTGGATGATTTTGATGGAGTTTTGTTCTCAGAGCTGGATGATTTGGTTGTGGAGCTTTCATCGTTCTTCTGAACGACATCATTAGCACAAACTTCAGGTAGAAGCCAACTGAAGTTTGTGCTAATAATGTCGTTCAGAAGAACGATGAAAGCTCCACAACGAAATCATCCAGCTCTGAGAACAAAACTCCATTAAAAAATGAAATAAAGGCTTAATAGAACAGATATTTTTAATTACTGTTTGCTTATTTTTTTACCAGATATATATTTGGATCAGTTAAATACAATATAAAACCCTTTATGTGTACATATCAGTACAAGGATTCTATTATCTAATCATGAAATATTTTATGTAGTCGACTTGACAATTGTCAGTAGATAGTTTGCTGAATATTCTCAATGTGATGATATGTTCCTGAAATTTGGAAAACTTTCTATTAACGTCAAGACAGTTCCATTGTATGGAGCTGAAATTTGGAGAAGTAGTATAACCATGATCAAAAATGGTACAAGTATTTATAAAAAGTTGTCTACTCAAGATAATCAATATCCGTTGGTCGGATTACTATCATGAACAGCCTAATGTAGGAGAGAACAAACCAGCCTACAGTTGAAGAGGAAATTAGGAAAAGAAGGTGCAAGTGGATAGAACATACATTGCGGAAATTACCAAACTGCATCATGAGGTAAGTCCTAACTTGGAACCCTGAAGGGAAACGGAAAGGAAGAAGGCCAAAGAACACACTATTAGAAGCAAACATGAAAAGAATGAATAGCAAGTGGAAAGAACACGGAAGGATTACTTGGGATAGGGTTGGATAGAGAGTGTTGGTGGGCGGCCTATGCTCTTTGACGAGGTGTAACGGGTGTAAATAATTAGGCAAGTAACTGCCACGGCTAACATACAGTAATATAACAATTAATCAGTGTTAATAAATATAAAACTTAGTGTATTCAAATATTTATTTTGTGTGTTAAATAAATCCTCATCGAACGTCTTCGTACCTTAATTGAATCGTCTGATTCATAGTCTTCGTGTTGAAGTACAAAGACATAATCCCATTTTGCAACAGTGCTGTTGTGTTTTTTGGTTTTGTTAATAAATCTTCAATTACATCAGTCTTTTCTGTTTTTACTTGGAGTAGTGAGAAGTACATCGGTTTGCAATTTCAAGTAGGACTGGAGGGGGAAGGAATATAACTTTATACCAAACTGTACTGAATGATTTGTGATGTT